TTATCATCATGGCGGGACATGGTGGCATGCAGGCAGAGATGGTGCTGGAGAGGTAGCTGAGAGGGCTACATCTTGCAGGCAACAGGAAGTGGTCTGCATGTCACACTGAGAGAAGCTTGAGCAAAAGAGACCTCAAAGCCCGCCCCCACAGTGACGCACTTCCTCCAACAGGGCCACACCTCCTGATAGTGCCACTCCCTTTAGGGGACATTTTCTTTCAAACCACCAAATTGGCCAAGCACTAGTTTCAGAAGATCCTGGGTTGTTAAACTTGGGTAGAATGAAAAACCCCTAGGAGGATAACTGATTAGTTTTTAATTTTTTAGATTACTTTAATGATTTTGTGAGTGTTTTGGATGCATGGAAATATGTGCACCACATGCATTCCTGGAGCGCTTGGAAGTCAGTTCCAGAGTTATGGATGGATGGTTGTAAGCCAGTATATGAGAGGTGGGAACCGAACCTGGGTCCTTTCCATGAGTGATAAGAGTGCTTTGCTGCAGAGCCACCACTCCAGCCCCATGACTACAGTTTTAAAAGCTCTCAAGTATTGCAATTCTTAACATTTCTCATCAATATGTTGCTCTTCCTGATTTGAAATATATGAATGCAATTGAAAGGTAGGAGCCAGTTTGAGTATGCATAAATAATACTACTATTCCTTTTTCTAGGTTATCAACAAATTATTTTTCATATTGATTTTTCTTTTGAAATATATAACATGAGTTGGATACCTTCGTGTATCTAAAGTAAGAACTCTGTATATTCACCTAAGTTTTTGAAAGCAAACATATTGAACTTATTCTGTACAACTTTATCTTTTAGGGATTCCTATTTTAAAGGAGCATAGACTTTTAGGCAGCAAGATTTTAGTTCAATTGATTAAAATATCTCATTCTATAGATATAAAAACTGATGCTACATGATGTTAAGAGATTTTCCCAGAAGTACATAGTCTAAAAAACAAAATAAGGCCGGGCGGTGGTGGCTCCTACTTTTAATCTCAGCACTCTGGAGGCAGAGCCAGGTGAGTCTCTGTAAGTTCGAGGCCAGCCTGGTCTACAGAGCAAGATCCAGGATAGGCACCAAAACTACACAGAGAAACCCTGTCTTGAAAATCCAAAAATAAATAAATAAATAAATAAATAAATAAATAAATAAATAAATGAATGAATAAGGTGCCACTGAGACTGTAATACAAAACTAGTTCTCCATGCTGGAAAAGTAATTGAGTACAGCAACCAAGAAACATGTAATTCTATGCGGTATGCAGTCCTGCCCAGAGAAGTTCTGTATTTCTATAGTGAGGCTCTCATAATCATCCTAACAAATAAAAACCACGAATTACAAGAGCAAGATTTTGCAGGTCACTTGAAGTGAACCACCCTATGTGGAGAAGTGGCTTCCTCACAGAGATGGCCCCTCTCAGCCATGGCTTCTGCTGTCCCTTTTAGAACGAAGACTTCTTTGGTCATTTAACGTTAACATCATAAAGAAGCAAATGGCCTTAGAAACGCACACTTTGTCTTTGCCCGAGTGAGTCTGTTTGAAGACTATCATGCCAGAGCGATGTGATAGTTGACACTAGCAAGCTTCATTTCCCTTTAATGACACCAAGAGACAGCCATGGTGGCACTGGCTTTTAATCTTAGTGCTAGGGAGGAAGAGGCAGGAGGATCTCTGTGAGTTCGAGGCCAGCCTGGGCTACAGAGTGAGTTCCAGATTCCTAGACAGTCAGGGGGCTGTTACACAGAGAAACCCTGTCTCAAAAAAGCAAAGGGGGGAAAAAGAAGTGAGGTGTTTTGCCTTTTTTTACCCCCAGGGGTAGTGTGACTTCACTTGGCCTCCTGCTGTATTTTGCCACCTACTTTGGAAATCATTTCTTTTTCTCAGAGCTGGTGGCCTCCAAAGCTTTCACTTCAGCAAGAACTTCGTCGTTTTAGCTTTGTTATTACTTAAACTGAGGGCATAACCTCTACAAGGTATGTTTGAAGGGAAGGTTTTTGTTGTAGATATGAGGGAAGAGTATAGCCAGAGACATCTGGAAGA